ACATCCCATTGATTTTGGATTGTTGTGTTTTCATTTTCATCTGTTTCCATATATTTTTAAATTTCTTCTCTAATTGCCTCATTGGCCCATTCGTTCTTTATTAGGGTGTTCTTTAACCTCCATACTTTTGGAGGTTTTCCAGACTTTCCTGTGATTGATTTCAAGTTTCATAGCATTGTGATCTGAAAGTGTGCATGGTATGATCTCAATTCATTTATATTTATTGAGGGCTGCTTTATGTGATCTATCTTGGGGAATGTGCCATGCGCACTTGAGAAAAAAGTAAATTGCATAGCCTCAGGATGTAGAGTTCTAAATATATCTGTCAAATCCATCTTGAATGTGTCATTCAAGTCCATTGTTTCTTTAGTGATTTTCTGTCTATTTGATCTATCCATTTTTGTAAGTGGAGTATTAAAATCTCTTGCTATTAGGACATTCTTATCTATAAGATTGCTTCTGCTTGTTATTAATTGTTTTATATATTTGGGTGCTCCCATATTTGGTGTGTAGACATTTATAATTGTTAGCTCTTCCTGATGGACAGACCCTGTAATTATTATATAATGCCCTTCTTCATCCCTGGTTACTGCCTTTACTTTCAAGTCCTGTTTGATATAGGTATGGCTACTCCAGCTTTCTTTTGACTTCCAGTAGCATGATAGATATTCTCCATCCCCTCCCTTTCAGTCTGAAGGTGTCCTCAGGTCTAAAGTGAGTCCCTTGAAGACAGCAAATAGATGGATTTTGTTTTTTTATCCATTCTGATACCCCATGTCTTTTGATTGTTCATTTAGTCCATTTACATTCAGTGTTATTATTGAAAAATATGGGCTTAGCGTCATTGTGTCCTTTGTGGGGTGCATGCTTGTAGTAGTGTCTCTGGTACCTTGTATTCCTTGCAACATTTCTCTCATAGAGTCCCCTTAGAATTTCTTGTAGGGCTGGTTTAGTGGTGATAAATTCTTTCAATTTTTGTTTATTTGGAACGACTTTTTATCTCCTTCTATTCTGAATGAAAACTTTACTGGATAGAGGGTTCCTTGCTGCATATTTTTTCTGTTCATCACATTGAAGATCTCCTGCCATTCCGTTCTGGCCTGCCAAGTTTCTGTAGATAGGTCTGTCACCACTCTCATAGGTCTCCTTTTGCATGTTAGGGCCCTTTTATCCCTAGCTGCTTTCAGAATTCTCTCTTTGTCTTTATATTTTGCCAGTTTCACTATGATATGTCATGCAGAAGATCAATTCAAGTTACATCTGAGGGGAGTTCTCTGTGCCTCTTGGATTTCAATGTCTGTTTCCTTCTCCAGATTGGGGAAGTTCTCAGCTATAATTTGCCCAAGGACCCCTTCAGCACCTTTCCTTATCTCTTCCTCTTCTGGAATTTCTATGATATGGATATTGTTCCATTTGATTGTATCACTCATTTCTCAAACTCTTCTTTCGTGCTCCTGGATCAGTTTCTCTCTTTTTCTCGGCTTCCTCTTTTTCTATAATTGTGTCTTCTAATTCACCTGTTCTCCTCTGTGCCTCTTCAGTCCGTGTATTGGATGCCTCCATTTTATTATGCAACATTTTTAATTCATCACAACTATTTTTAAGCTTCACAGTCTTTGTAGCAATAGTTTCTCTGATGTCTTCCATGCCTTTTTTTCAAGCCCAGCGATTAATTCTATGACTACTGTTCTAAATTCTTGTTGAGTTATGTTGCTTACATCTGTTTTGAGCAGTTCTTTAGCTGTCATTTCTTCTTGCAATTTCTTTTTTTTTTTTTTAATGTTTATTTATTTCTAGGAGACAGAGAGAGAGAGACAGCGTGAGCAGGGGAGGGTCAGATAGAGATGGAGTCACAGACTGAAACAGGCTCCAGGCTCTGAGCTGGCAGTCAGCACAGAGCCCGATGCGGGGCTCGAACCCAGGAACCGTGAGATCATGACCTAAGCGAAAGTCGGACACTTAACCAACTAAGCCACCCAAGCACCCCTTCTTGCAATTTCTTTAGAGGAGAGTTCTTCTGTTTCGTCTTTTGGCTAGCTGTCTCTTGTTAGTTTTAAAACTTGTTATGTGCCCTGCACCTGCAAGTACTACTATATTAATGAATGCTATATACATTGCCTGTCCAGAGCCTGTCTGTTCTGGAAGTGTTCTTTGAATGGTGCCTCTTGGTCTCTCTGGTTGAGACTTTGGTTATTTTATTTCCCTACTCATAGTAGTATTTGGGACTCCCTACCAAGTGTACTTGGTTTATTTCTTGAGGTAGTCCTGGAAAGGAAAACAGACAGACAAACACACAGGAAACAAAGGCACACAAACACACAGATAAATCCAACAAACAAGCAAACTGAAAGGGAAAAAGAACAAGAAAAAAAGAAGAAAAAATAAAAGAAAAAAAGGAAAAATAACCAAAAGACACAAGACAGTATAAAAGCATAAAAATAGAATACCCAGCTACAAATAAAGAGAAGGGTGTATGCAGTGCTGACGGAAGAGCATATACAAAGATAGAAGTGACAGGGCAGGGGGAAAGCAAAATTGGACAATGAATGACCAGGCAGAGAAACAAAAAGCTTAATTCATAGAGAGAAAGAGGAGAATATGGTAGGAGGCAATGAGAAAGAAGTAAAGATAATGTTACTCAGAGAAACTATATAGTCTGATTACTCCAGAGAGAGAGAGATAGAAAGGTAGTGGTGGAGGTACAGAATATACATCTAGAGAATGGATTAAATGTGACTGTTTAAGCAAACCAATGACCAGAGTGTCCAGCCCAGCAGAGGGGAGAGATACGAATGAGACAAGGGAAAATATATCTGAATAGAAAGAATTGATCTAGAATTAATCACAGCAGTGCACCCATGTTGGTCTTGCCCCAGGCTCCCATAAAAAAAATTAAACAGCTCTCTAGCAGGGATGGACGTGGTATGGCGTAGGCAGGTCTTAGCCTCCACTGCGTCCCACGGGCTGCTCTCTGAAGTCCCGCCTTGGTAGTTTGGGGAGAAAACTGGCAGTGCCCCAGTCCCTTCTAGAACTAATCTTTGCAAATCACTCTTTTGAGTCCTAGCTCCCTGTGCCATGGGCCTAACCAAGATGGGCTGTGTTCTATGTCCCACGCCCCACCTCATTTCCAGGTCTTAGTCCGTGGGCTTTATTGATATCACCTGAAATATAATCCCACAGACTGGGCAGCTTCTCAGCCAGGGATCGAGCTGGGAGAGCAGTGGAGCAGTTTTTCCTGGCGCCGCCTGGGACTGGGGCACCCAGCCCAAAAAGTCAGCACCACAGCTACAAAGAAGATCACTCTCCATCCCAAGCCAAGGTTTTTCTCTTCTCCAGGGACAGTTCTATGAGCAGTTTCAGCCACTCTTTCTCTTCGCCTTGACTCTCCATATCTCCCTGCGAAGGGGGTTCCATCCCCTCCCTTTGTGTCTCCAGGTCCCAGGCCATTTTTATCTTCCCCTATTCACACTCACACCCCTATGAGGTTGTCTTCTTAGTGGACTCTGTCTCTTTTCCTCCCAAACCCCTGCGGTTCAGTGTCCAATGGCTTCAGGCCTTCTCTGTTTGACCGACAGGGGGGGCAAAATGTACGGAGCTCCCTACTTCTCTGCCATCTTGCCTCCTTCTAAGGATTTTATTTTTAAGCATTCTCTACACCCAGTGTGGGACTCGAACTCACAACCCCAGGATCAAGAGTCTCATGCTCCACAGACTGAGGCAGTCAAGTGCCTGTAAATGATAGCCCTTTTTTTAAAAAAGTATGCTCCACACCCAACATAAGGCTTGAACTCACTGGAATCTAAATTTTTTAAAGTTCCATAACTAAGTAAATTTTATTTCAGGGGTGTTAAATTAACCCTTTCTTTCCAAATGTGGAAAAAAGTATAAAGTTTTTAAAGACTGTTTTCTGGTGGGAATGTAAACTGGTATAGACACTGTGGAAAACAGTATGGAAGTTCCTCAAAAAATTGCAAATATAAGTACCATATGATCCAGCAAGCCCACTTCTGGGTGTATATCCAAAGAAAACAAAATCATTACCTTGAAGAGACATGTGCAATCCCATGTTCTTTGCAGCATTATTTAAAATTGTTCATTGACATGGAAACAACCTGTATCCATTTGCAGATGAATGATGAAGAAAAAATATATATAATGTGAATAAGTAAATGTAAACAAATGAACACACACACACACACACACACACACACACACACACTGGAAGATTTTTTATCCATGAAAAAATAAGGAAGTATTGCCATTTGCAACAACCTGGATGAATCCTCTAGGGTTTTATGCTAAGCGAAATAAGTCAAACACAGAAAGACAAATACTATATGATCTCTCTTATATGTGGAATCTAAAAAACCTGAACTCATAGAAACAGACATCAGGTTTGTGTTTGACAGAGGTAGGGGGTAGGGATGGAATTAGGTGAAGGTGGTCAAATGGCATAAACTTTCACTTATAAGAGAAATAAGTTCTAAAGATGTAATATACAACATGATAACTCTAGTTAACAATACTACATCGTATATTTGAAAGTTTGTAAGAGTAAATCTTCAAAGTTCTCAGCATTAGAGAAAAATAATTGTAAACTTTTGAGGTGATAGAGGTTAACTAAAGTTTTTTTTGGTAATTATTTGCATTTATACATCTATCACCTCAAATATGTACACTCACGCAAATGTATACTATGCCATATGGCAATTATATCTCAATAAAAGTGGGAAAAAGAAAGGAAACAGGACTGATTTTTTCCGGCTCTACTTTTCCTGCTGCTTATCCGATTAGTATTTTCTAGCTTGAGTTCAGTCCCCTTCAGAAACCCTTTCTGGACAATTCCAATCATCACCAACCTATCTCTGTCCTCTGGAATCTGCTCTGATGGTAACCAATATCTCTTCCATGTTCAATGACATTGTATTGCTAGCTTGACCTCAGCTGTGGTGGAAGTATTTATACCATAGAAATTGGCAAACACTACAAATGAGGGTTTTTATTTTCCAGAGAGCTAGCTTAGCAGCAGCACCCATGGCTCATAGTCTGTGCCACTCTATGCATTTAATTCATTCTCTTTGCATTGTATTGATATTTCAAGTCACTGCTTCTGCAATAGATGATATGAGGTCCTCAAGAGCCATATTCCACAGTTTAATATATTTCACTTGCCATCTGCCTGTGTACTGAAAGGTCCAAAGCTCCCATTCTGGACATGTGGTGTTGTAAGAGTGCAGTGGGATCCATTCCCAGCTGTTGACATCTCTGGTTCTCTGTTCCCGCATCTAAAAAGTAAAAGAATTAAAGGGCATGGAAGGTAAGACGAAGTCTATATTGAACACTCTTGAATTCTCCTGGGTCTCTGAGTGACAAGGGGCAGTTCTTATGGCACCTTCATTCCAGAGGATTGCATGGTGGCCTAGGGGATGTTCATAGCCAGTTCCATGATCAAGTAAGTTGGGGAATGCAGATCCAATCAAGTTTAACAAATTTCTCTGACTCAGGACTTCTCAGTCTTTAATCTGCTTGACACATTGGGATATTTAGAGATGGAAGGGCAGACAGGGGCTGCAAACCCATGTGGATGTCAGGTTTCAGGAACTGGCACACTTAGTTTATTTCTGGGTATACAAGGGAAGATGCAATCATCAAATTTAGATCTTAAATTGGAAGACCTTCTCTTCTGTCCCCTATTCATCCTCTCCTTAGGCTTGGGGTTGAAAGAAAGAATCCAAGAAAAGGGGTGAGTTTTGAAGGACAGGAGGTGGGCAGCCTGGGCCTTCTGGCATTTGGACCATTGATTAATTTTCAAATGGTTACAGGGCCAAAACAGAATCAACAGAAGAAGCAATTTGTTCTTATCAGTACTGATGGCAAATATTTATGTTGCTTTTTTCTGTGACATTGCCTTGTTTATCTTCACTATCCTCCATCCCTGTGAAGTTGAGGAGAGTGCTGTTCTTAATCTACACAGGCTATCAGACCTCAGCTTGCCACCAGTGCTAGGACCAACCCAACCACCTATTGCTTTTTCCTTCAGTAATCTTGTTTTCTCCCTATGTGAATTTTAGACCTTCTCAAATATTTTATAAATATTTTGCTTGTCTGTGACTGGCTGAGCTGAAAAATGATCATGACGGTTTGTATATTTATCACTAATGCTCTTATCTTTTGGTAATCATTTCACATCTGCTGTCTCATTTTGCCATCTTAAAAACCTGAGATATAGACAATATTTTCATGTTACAGAAGGGGAAAAATGCAACCAGGGCATCAAGAAGCCTTATCAGAACACAGGGCAACTGTGGCTCATGCCTTACAGGAACCGTGGAAGGACCTGGGGAGGCTTTTGAAGTGTTATTGCTTGAGCTCGTTCCCCCAGAGATCCTGGTTTAAATGATCTCAAGTATAGTCTGGGCACTGGAATATTTTAACATTCTTCAAGTACATCTAATGTACAATTCTGACTGTGAAATTCAGGTCACTTTCTGCAAAACAGCCCTGTCCTATTGACATAAGTATTTACATATTTTCCCAACTTCTCTCTCTATCTTAGTTTGGATGAGAAAATGTGAAATGTGATATTTTATCTAATATATTCTCCCTTGAACCACACATCTCATTCCATATCAGACCATCTACAGACAGCACTATGAAGGCTTTAGCAAAGCAGCTAAAGAGGGGGCAATTCATGCTGCCAACTTCAGAGCCTTCTAAGTGAGATGACATTTATAGACAAGTAACTGTAAATACTGTGGTCCAGGGATCCCACCTCTAGATCTAGGAATATTTCTTCAAATATATATACAAAAATAAATGCATGAAATATTCTTGATATATTAAGTGAGAAAAGGAAGTTTCAGAAAAATATTACAGAACAACCCAATATTTGCTGAAAATAAGTCCACCTGCATGATTACATTTGGGTTTCTACACATAAGAAAAAAATAAGTCTGAAAATATTTACACTAAACTTTTGGTGGTAGTTATCTCCAAGAATAAAGACAGCAGAGAGTAGAGGGCATGGAAAAGTTTCATTTGGGGGGGGGGGGTATTCTTTGAATTACTGCAATACAAATTTATTTGTATAAATACAAATTTATTACATTTAGATTTTTTCTAAAATTTATTTTACAACAACAAAAAATAGTTTGATCATTGTAAAATGGTGAATGCCATAAAAGAAGAGATTATATCTGTCTGGAAAATAGGAGCTGGCATCAAAGAGAGGGTGACATTTCTTTTGCATGGGCAAGCCCCGCTTTGAATTGCAGCAGTGGAGGGAAGAGGAGCGGCCCACATGCAGAAATGAGGCCAGGAGGTGGCCTGGGTGGCTGGGTCGGTTCAGCATAGGACTTTTGGTTTGGGCTCAGGTCATGATCTGACGGTTAGTGAGATAGTTTCAGCATCCAGCTCCAGCTCCTGGCTCACAGAACCCCAGAGTCTGCTAGGCATTCTGTCTCCCTCCCTCTCTGCCCCTCCCCCATTCGTTCTCTATCTCAAAGAAAGAAAGAAAGAAAGAAAAAAAGAAAGAAAGAAAGAAAGAAAAATGAAGGAAGGAAGAAAAGAAAGAGAAAGAAAAAAAAAAAGAGAAGAGAAATGAGGTCAGGAGGCGCCTTGCAGAAATCGGGGGGCATTCCCCCACCTGGGAGCTTCGCTGGAGAGGAGTAAGGGGGCGTGACCAGGGGTGCTTGGAGCAAAGGTAAGCAGGTTCAGGTCCTGAGTCAGGCCTCGAGTGCCAGGCCAGAGACAGTATAGGTAGAATTTGTAAAGTCATTGAGTGTTTTGGTTGCAGGAATGATGCAATCAGAGCTCTGATTCTGGAAGCTTCCAGAATGGCAAGAGTGTGGAAGGATGGATTTCCGGAATAAAAACGAGATGGAGGCCGTTCTGTCAGGACTAGCAATACCAAGCAGGAGGCAATGTAGGCCAGGACGGGGTGCCCAGGGTGCCGAGTCCAGAGCCTGTGCGTGGAGTGGACTCGGACGCCCAGGCTGTTACACCCAGGAGTTGGCTCACCAACGGGAGCTGCAGAAAGGGGGTCCGGGGTGGGAGACCGCGGGCAGTGGTGTTGTAGTGTCCCAATTAACCGCAGGCTGCCCGGAAATGCAGCGGGCAATTCGGATCCTATTTCAGAGCGGTGATTTGAATCTCCCGAAAACATTCACAGTCTTGGGGTCAGACCAAGATCACATTATTACTATTTTTTTTTAATTCAACCAACCCCATTTCCATTTCCAGGCAAGTTCTCCTTTCCTCTCTCCACCTGGGCCTTCAATAAGAAATAGGCAAACACATGTCCTCAGTTGTTGGAACCTGCCATCTCCGAGAGAGCAGAAAACCCCCAGGTCCACAGAGCGTGGGTGGCACAAGCTCGTGGGATTTTTATTCTTCTTCTTTCTTCGAGCCTCCCACCTGGTTGCTTCTACTGTGAGAGGATTTGGGGGACTGAGCAGAGAGAGGAGGGGAGGCAGGAAGAAAGGGGAAGAGACCCCCAACGCACAAAGGACACAGGGATCCCCTCCCTGTGGAGGTGGCGCCTAGCGACCTCGCAGAGCAAGTCCAGGGCAGCATCACCACAGCCGCTTTTCACACCCTTCTGGAAGAGGTCTGTATGGCCAAGGACTTCACATGTAGCCAGGCGTCCCCCGTGCCTCCCCCAAAGGCCAGGACAGGCGACTCCTCCATACAACCCCCCGCCCCTCCCGGCACCTGGGCAGCCGGTATGGACTGCTCTGCGTGTGCTGTGTAGCTCACCTTCTAACACCCACACAAAGCGATGAACTGCAAAGGAGCCTCCTGGACTTGGCTTTTTAAAACTTGAGTATCTGGACAGTTTGAGCTACCTCCTGCACAATCACTTTCTTCTGATTCTATAGGGAATAGACAAGGTGTGTTGAAAGGAAAGGTTCAGGGACCTACAAAAAAGAATCTTACTTTTCCATGGAGTTACTATTTCATCTCTCTTATCCCATTAAGAATAACAATAACATCAAAAATACACATTTGATTAAGACTCTAGAATTTACAAAGAGCTGCTTCATAATTTATCCAAGTAAAATAACCTGATATTGAAAGAAAAAGTTGTTAAAGGGAAAAATTCCTTTTAAAAAAAGAAGAGTACTTCAGTTTTAATTCCTTACTCTCTCGTGTATGTTTTCTGACAGTCTCACTAAAACAAGGTGCATCTGAACTAAAAGCGTATTTTGCAGAATTTGAGAATCTCTGCTCACTTCCACGTTTCAAAACAGAATTATCAGTACAATTTTAATGCAATCAAAAATAGTAGATAAATTAGGTATAAAATGCTTGACAACACCAACTCCTTCTTATCCTAATTCCAAAATTGGAAAAATGCTTCAACTAAAATCTGACAGTCTTAACAGAAAATGAGTTAGGATCTACAGGAAAGAAATTATACTGTTTTCTACATAAAAAGTGAAAAATTTCTATATGAGATAAAAACACTATCAAGATAAACAACAAATCAAGAAAAATATTGGTAGCTAACAGTTAATCCTCCCCATGTACAGAGGTCTTTAAGTTGCTCAAATACAATGGTTGGACTGCTCATAAGTAACTACAAATAGTCAAGGGAGCTTAGGAAGACAATCAAGAAAATATCCAAAAACAATCAAAGAAAAATAAAAAATGATACATCTGAGCCTGCCAGAACGGCAAAGGTGGACTGGATGGAGCACATTCATTTTGGGGGCAATAAGCATTTGTATGCATTTTTATTAGGGCAATATATTGATAAACTTTTGACCTGGCACACTTTGATCCAGCAACTGTTTCTGGAAATTTATGTCAGAAGACACTGGATTCACGTCTCACATTTGCAAAGTGAACCCTATGGTCTCTATAAAAGGAAGAGAGAAAAAGGAAAGGGGAGTGTTGAATTCCTGGAAATTCTTGCCCTCGGCCCCAACCCCTCCAGACAGCAGGCACGTGACAGCAGGGAGGCAGGACATGCTCTTTCTCCCACTATCCTCATCTCCCCTCAAAAGACTTCAAATGGATAAGAATACCTCATTGTACTGGGCTGAGGTCTGATGTTTAACAGTTCCCCTCACACATGCCCAACACATGGCCCCAACCCAAATCCGAGTCAGTTATTTCACCAGGTGCTTGTTTGAGGAAATAACTATCTGATAGGATGCAGGAGAACAAATTGAGTACTGGCTAATTGCAGAGGCTACTTTCTTCTCCACTATGGTACCATCGTGGTGACTTTGAGTCCCTGAAAACTTTACCATTCACATTGCCTTTCCTGAAACCCCACATGACCTGTGATGCCACTAAATAAGGAAGTCTATCATGGTAGAAACTGAAAGTAGTGAACAGTTGGATGTAGCCCTTATGTCCATCCTATGTCAGCAGACATTTGGAAAACATTGTCAGACATCCATTCAGTGGCATACTCTGCAGAAAGATGATGTCAAGTAGTATGAATTCATGTGAAAATATCTACTACATTAAGAGACAAAAAATGTTACATAATAGCAGATATAATTTGACTCGCTTATATAAAGTTTAATAGGTTTTGAAAATAAGTACATGAAACTAAGCATTTTTTTAAGTTTATTTATTTTGAGAGAGAGAGAGAGAGAGTGTGTGTGTGTGTGTGTGTGTGTGTGTGAAGGACAGGCGGGGGGGGTGGGGTGGGGAGGGAAGAAAGAGAATCCCAAGCAAGCTCCATGCTATCAGCACAGACCTGATGCTGGGCTCCATCTCAGTAGCCTCGAGATTATGACCTGAGCCAAAATCAAGAGTTGGTCATCACCCGACTGAGCCACCCAGGCACCCCAAAATTGAGCGTGTTTTTATTTTTTTTTAATTTTTAAATTTTTTAATTTATTTCTGGGAGAGAGACAGCATGAGCAGGGGAGGGTCAGAGAGAGAGGGAGAAACAGAATCTGAAACAGACTCCAGGCTCTGAGCTAGCTGTCAGCACAGAGCCTGACGCAGGGCTCAAACACACGAGCTGTGAGATCATGACCTGAGCCGAAGTCGGACGCTTAACTGACTGAGCCACCTAGGCGCCCTAGAGAGCATGTTTTTATATGTGTGTGCATGTGCATAGAGAGATCTATCTAAAAAGATTTTTACCAAAATGATAACTGTGTTATATCTGTGTGACAGGATTGAGAGTAATTTTTGCTTTTTGGGTTTTATCTTATACTCTTCTTCGTCATTTGAATTTTTAATAATAAGCATGTATATATTTTTAATCAGAAAAATTATAAAATTATCTATCTCCATTTTTTAAAAAAAGTAAGTTGGTACCAATATCAACAAAGGAAAGCTCAAAAGGAACTTCCCTGGTTTGCCTGCTAGTGGATTGGGCATCACATCTGGCAACAACCATAGGGAATGTCTGCAAATAAGTCACTGTACCTTTGTTTTTGTTTCAAGGTGCCCTAGCATGAGTATTTTATTTTATTCTCTTCCTACTTCATTGCATGAGAAATCTTCTGTGTCTGACTTCAACAAATACATCTTGATTGCCCAGCACACTGCTAGGAATTAAAGACGTAGGTGAGCAAAATGTGTTTCCCTGGAATCCACAAGAAACATTTTGGGGAGATAAGCACACAAACAAACAGTATCACTGATAATAATCTCCTCTAATGGGAGAGGCAATTAATGCTTCCTGGATGACTGGGGTAAGGCTATGTGGACAAGATGGCATCTGAGCTAGAAAGAGAGGCATTAGAGGAAAAGGAGACTACGTAGGCCAAGGCAAGATGTGCATGGCACTTCATATGTGATGAACAGGACAGAGAAGAGAGGGAGAAGGGAATCATGCAGGTTGGAAGGAAATGTGGGGACCAGAATCCTGCTAAGTGGTTTGGATCTTAGGTAGCCAGATACTGACATAATCAGGTTCATTCAGCTTGAGACAAGGATGGAAAGTACCATTAGTGGGATCACCTCTGGCCTACAGACCCATAGGCATATCTCCCTATCCGTTCCAGCACCTTAACCTCTGAGATTATAAGTGGTCGGTAAATGCATATTATTTAAATGCAAATGAACCACCTAGATTCATGGAAGCCTCCACTGACTTGAAAGCACTGGTAAAAATAAGAAGCCAGGCTAAACAGTAGAGCTAAAGTCCCCCCGCAGAGGGACATTGGCACGTCTTGTTCCAGGCACCAATTTCAGCCTGTGATTAGGCTTAGCAGTCCTTGCTCTTATAGCTGAGGACACAGAAGAATTTGAACATGCCTTTCCTGCTCCAGCCCCACCTGTTCATCATCTTGCTGGGCTAAGAGCTGCTGTAATTTAAGTCCCTCTAAAAAGAAAATAGAATTCTTAAGCATCTGTCACCACAGCTCCTTGTGGTGAAAAATGGAAGGTGTGGCTTCTTTGAAAGAAAAATGACAAGACAGAGTATTGAGTGACCCCAAGGTGTTGGCATGTGGGAGATGAACTGATTCACCAAGATAGAAAGCCCATTCCGCCTTTCCAGCACTTTTTATATACGTTTTAATCGCTGTTTATGCTTTCAGGATGTGGTGCTCGGCATGAAAACCAGTCCCCTTGCAGGCCATATAGGGGTGGAGGTGCTGGGTGACCCTGAGTAAACACAGCTACAATAGAATTCCAGCAGACTCTCGGCGAGTCTTTCATCTGCCTTTGGGAGTGACAAGTAGGGTTGGCTTCCTTAGGCCTGGAGTGGAAGCACAATTACAAAGCTGAGGATTTGTGGGCTTGTTTGCAGGGCTTACCTAAGAAACCGATACCCTCTGAAAGTGCCCCTTCATTCCAATGTCACTTTAGATAGGGCAGGTAAAAGGATTACTCTGGTGTCACTGGCCCCCACCCATTGTCTGCACAAGCCGACGCTGAATGGAGTAACTTAACCCCCAAGGAGATAACCAACTACCGTGTGTGTACTCACATTTACAACTGGCAATTCCCATGAAGAGAAGGGGTTGTTTTCCAGGGCCTTGTGCTTCCCTGACACGTCAGTACCAGAATATGAGATAGTTCTAGAGCAAAGGCTCAAGGTTGTAGAACAAGTCCAGGGTGCTGGTCTCGATGCCCTCGTATTAAACCCGATCCACCCAGGTACACGCGTGGAGGGGGCCCATGTTAAGACAGCACTCACATCACTCAGTTTTCTTCTTTAAATTGTGAACTTGACTTAAAAAATCTCCACATATTTTCTTTTTAAAAAAATGTAGTAGAAACCCCAAAGAAGAGAAAAAGAAATTTTGAGGCTTCTGTTTTCATGGGACTGGCTGAAAGGACCAATGTCTGACCCATGTCCTTGCCTGATTAAGACTTTGAGGGCCCTAGACATCCTCCCCTGCTACCCTCAGCCAGCCCAGATTCACCCCCACCACCTCCAGCCAGCCCCAAAGCCCAAAAGAATGAAGAACCCTGACTCTTAGCCTGGACATTCTCAGGCAGATTTTAGGCCAACTTGCCCTTTATTAATAGAAACCTCTTACAAATTAAATAATACTTATTATGTTTCTGAAATAGGGACATAGAAAAAAGGAAGCAAAGGTTATTTATAATCTCACCATCTAGATAGCCCTTGTTTAAAATAAAAAAATTTTTAAGTAAAATACTGTATATAAATGGTGAGAAAATTAAAACATTACAGAAGGTAACAATAATTTTAAATAAAATCCATCTTTATCCCAAAGGTAACCACTGCTAAAATGACCTTGGGTTTCCTTGCAAACAAGGAAAAGAAATGGATAAAGCACTAAAATATATATAGCCTTTTACATGACTTATAAAAATAAAAATTGTAATAATAAATAAAAATTTAAAATAATTTTGAAAAAAGTATAACATCCACACTATTCTACATCTTATTCTTTTCAGTTAATTATATATCTTGGAGGGTTTATCATACAATAGTATGGATCAACCTCATTGCTTTTAATGGCTCATTTTATGGATGCAGCATAACTACCTGTCCTATCATTCTTGAAATGCTTGAAAGGACCAGACAAATTGTAGGCAAGAGACATCGCCCTTACATGCCTCAGTTTCCTCAGCTTCAAGATGAGAAAAACAACAGTAAACAAGTAGATACATGGGAAGCACCTAAAAGGGTATCTATTACTATTGTTATTATTTCTATTACTATCAGTATTAGTATTAGCTATGAGTATTAGAATGATTTTTTATTAGAAATTTTTAGATCAGTATTATTGTCAGGGTACTTTTCAGTTGGAAACTTCTTAGGTAGAGATCAAGGATATCACTGCCAAAAGTAGGCCAATAAGAAAGCTACCATATATTTTTGAACCATACCCTTCAGAAAACCTAGTAAGGCTGAAGTGTCTGTGGCCCATGGTAGGGACAGAGTTACATTTCCTAAAACACAAGATTTCCCAAATGAAGCTGCAGCTTGAATACTGCTTTATGCAACAGCAGACAACTATATCAAGAGACAAGTTACTGAGGAGAAATACAGAAGAATACCGTGGCCAATTGACAATGCAAGGAAAATCGTGGTGGGCAGAATGTAATTACCTGCACTGGAACTTGGCCAGGGTGTCTATTTGCCCAGCAGAAGGAAATTAGACCATATGTTTGGAGAAAGGGCTTAGTTTGGGCCAACATTTCCCAAGATAATCTTTCCATCAGTAATAAGGTCATTATTTCCAGGCATGAAGAACCAGAGAAGGTTAGAGCTTAAAAGAACAAAAAGAAGAAAAGAGAGAGCGAGACAGAGAGAGAGAGAGAGAGATGGGTTAGTTCAGTCCCTTTTTCTACAAAGGAGAGATTAACTGACTTCCCCCAAGTAACAAAGCCAGCTCGTGGAAGAACCAGGGTTAGCTCAAAAGGCTCTTCACACCCAACCGGTGTTTAATCTA